ACATCAAAAAGTTTTTGGAAAAGTAGAATTTAAAGAGAATGGATTTTGCTGTGAACCTTTTGAAATCCCCTCATATAGTCATACAAAATTTGAGGAAGTTTTAAAATGCTTGTGAGAAAAATCATTACCTTTTAATTCATTTTTCCAGACTTTTGAAGCCCCCTCTTACATATACCAAATGTTTATGTGTGTGTGTGTATGTATTCATCTACTTATATTTTTGAAATATAAACTTGTGGCCAGCAATATGCTGACATTTTTAAGTATATTTATAATTTTTAATGTTGCATTTTGAAACAGATTTTAAAATTCTGGAATGAAGGCTCTAGTAGATTTTTTAAAACTACGAATGTTTCTTTTTTATATAATAGAGTATGACTATGATTGGAAGTTCGGGAAATGCAGAGAAGCATGGGGAAGTCAGTGAAGTGACCCGTTCTCTGAAGTCAGGCAGCTCCGTGGCCTTTCCTGGCTATGTGCGGGCTGTGCTGGTTTTTACAGGACATGGTGTGGTCAAGGGTGCGCCCCTGAGACTATGACTCTAGTTTCTAGTGCTTTGAAGTGAAAAATAGGTTTGTTACCGATGCTTCCATAACACTATTTTAATTCTTATTTTAATATATTTATTTTGCAGTCTAGAGTGGATGTGTATACGTCACACTCTCCCGCCGGAACTTCTATGCAAAACATGATGCACTGGACCCAGGTAGGTAGCCCTGGAGTGCAGTCTGGAGATGGTGTCAGTCAGGGTTAGGAGGGTCTGGGTGTTCCGCGAAGTTTCTCTCTGTAAGTCCTTCCTATATAGAAAGACAGTCTACGTACACAGCCAAGCTGGCTTCTTGTCCCAAGTTCTGGACTCCTGTCAGTGTACTTTTGCTGCTCTGTGGTCCTCCGCAGGGCACCAAGTCATGTGGTCACCAAACAGCTCTTGGGGTTGACTTCTCTTCTGTTCCTTACCTTCCCCTGCCTTCTTTATTTATTTGAGTCTTAGATTTACATGCTTGTTTATATCTTTCTTTCCTAAGATACTTGCTACAGTGCTGATGGACGCTTTCATAGATTGACTGCTATCTGTCAGTGACTCAGTGATAAAGCTACTGTGGATTAGAATAGGGTATCTGGGGTGCAAAGTAGTTCACGACAAAGTGCATGGCATCCCCTCACCACTTAGGGAGTGTCCTGAAACCTTCAGAAGTCCTCAAACTCAGAAATGCTCCTTCGGCCCCTGATTTTCTCCTGTCACATTTGTTTCTAGTCTCTTATTTTTTTGTGTGTGTACCTTGTTTTAAAATAGTATATTATTGTGTTTTTGGTGAAAATTTACATAGCAAGTTAGACTCCCATTTGCCAATTTTTATAGAATTTATTCTGTGACACGGTTACATTTTTTACAATGAGACAAGATTCTCTTTTATTATGTTCTGGTGGCTCTGTTTCTTGTGTTCTAGTCTCCCTGCCCCTTGATCGAGACTCTTTACTTTTGAGTAGTTGACCTTTTTGTGTTCTATGTTGTTGTTAAGTACCGTGGAGTCAGTTCCGACCCATAGCGACCCTGCATCGGGTTTCTGAGGCTATAAATCTTTACGGGAGTAGAAAGCCTCATCTTTCTCCTGTGGAGCGGCTGGTAGTTTCGAACTGCTAGCCTTAAGGTTCACAGCCTGATTCGTAACCACTACACTACCAGAGCTCCTTAATCGAGCACCATACTCATGGGTAATATCCTTTTTCCCTCTGCCTTTTTGAGCATTTATTTTTCCTCTTACCTAATGGACATATTACAAATGAGGCATTTTGGTCGCATCCAAAGTTAGTGTATGCCCAAAGATATATGGGGTACTTGGAGGATGACTGAGCTGGGCTGAAGGTAGGTGCCATGCTGCCCACCAGCTTAGTGCCCCTTGTAGCCTGCATCTGACTCAACACATGCCCTGTTGTTGTTGTTAAGTGCTGTTGAGTTGATTTTGACTCATAGTATAAAGTTTCCTAGGAACAGCTGGTGGGATTGAGCCACTGACCTTGTGGTTAGCAGTCCTCTACCTATCCTATAGCACCACACCCGGACTCCTACCTTTAAAATGATCTCCCTGAGCCAGACTTTTAGGGGCATTGAAACCAAGGCTGTGAGACCACTCTATTTTAACATTGGTGCGATGTCATTCACCCTTCTGTGTCCCAGGCTTTCACTGGCTGTTAGCTTTGCCATAAAACTGCTAAACCAGCTGCAATGCAGGATTCTGCTCTTATTGCAACCCCTTTATCAAGCAGCTGACTGGGCCAGAACACTGCTTAGTAGTCCAGGCCTGACCTTGTGACTTTAGGTTCTAACCACACTGGAACTGGCCTTCTAGGCATTTCCAAAGCCTAGTTTTGCTGTAGAAAGTAGCCTTGCCCTTTCACCTCTTAGGCAATAAAATAGTAGCTGTATGCAGTTGTTTAATAAGACCTTCTGATTCTTCCTCCTGAGTGTTGTTGGCTGAGACTGTCACGCTCTTCCTGTTGAGGGCACACTCGGGCAGGTGGGTGGGGGTGTATATGCTGGCAGGCTGAGAGCTGTGATTCAGACGGAACGCTTGGAGGTTCCTGTGATGTCAATTTGGGGGTGCGCACAAAAACATCTTATTTACAATACATTCAGAAGTCTAAATTTTGTTTAAACAATTAGCATTCAGTTGTTGACCTAGTTCTTTACTGAGCTTTAATATTCGTTGTATACGCCTGACAGATTTCAGAGAGACCCTCTGTCCCCCAGCCACAACTTTGTGACTGTCTCAGGCTCTCTCATTAGCCTTGCCCACAGGACGGTCCTAAAGTCTCTTTAACAGTGTTGGTTGGAATCAAGGAGCCCTAGTGGCGCTGTGGTTAAGACCTCCAGTTGAACCTACTAGCTGCTCCAGAGGAGAAGGTGTGGTAGTTTCGTCCCTAAAGGTTAAAATCTGTTGCTGCTGATTCCGTTCTGACTCAGTGCCCCTGTGAGACAGAGTGGAACTGCTCACACAGCATCCAAGGCTCCAGTGTTCATGGAAGCAGACTGCCACATAGTTCTCCTGCAGAGCGGCTGGTGGGTTTGAACTGCTGACCTGTCGGCTATTCACCAAATACAACTAGTCCACCATCAGGGCTCCTTTCCCTTGGAAACGCTCAGGGGTGTTCTGCTCAGTCCTATAGTGTCACTGTGAGTTGGAATGAACTCAGTGGTAGTGGGTTTGGTTTTTAGGGGAGGGGATTTGGTCAGAATTATTTAGGGTGCTATTAAGAATGGGGAGTCCTTGTATGCACTGTAGGATAAGCACTGCACAGCTAACCAGAAGGTCGACAGTTGAAGCCCACAAGCCACAGCTCTGCAACTCTATACAGGGTCGCTATGAGTCAGAACTGGCTCAACAGAACTTGACAACAGCAACATTAAGAATACAAATTGTAAGACTTACTGAAAATCGGCTTCTTTAAGATATGTTTCTGGGATCTACATTTTAATAAATACTCCCAGATAAAGCTGATGGATTCTGTTGTGTGAAACTTAGCCAAGCCCAGCCCATTGTGGTAGAACTGACTCCACCTGTGGTGACCCTGTGTATGTCAGGGTAAAGTGCTTGCCAAAGGGTTTTCATTGGTTGTAATCTTCGAAAGCAGACCGATAGCCTTTCTTCTATGTGTGACTGGGTGGATTTGAGCCCCCAGTCTTTTGGTTAGTGGTTGGGTGTTCATCATTGGTGCCCCCCATGGCCTTTTTATTTAAAACTTGCTGCTTTAAAAAAAAACACACAACTAAAACATACCAAAACTATGGTAAGGAATTCTCTTTAAACACTGTAAAAAGAATAGTAAAATTTTTATTCTATATGGAATACATGTTCATATGAAATTTTAGAAAATACATCAGTGCAAAGACGAAAAAAATCACCCATATGCTCGCCACCTAGGAATAACCACATTAGTCTTTGGTGCAGCCTTCCATTTTTTAATATAATCATTTCCATTATGAAAAGGATCATACTTTATCTACTTTTTGATAACTTTCCCTTATTTGTTGCATACAGGTTCAAGTGCTGTATCAGAGACCCAAAAAATACAGTTGCTAAAATATGCAGTTTATTTCTTACTTGTAATGTCTGGAGAGCAGTGGCCCAGGTTGGTGGTGGAGGGGTGTGTGGCTGGGCTCCATGTGGTCGTACAGGGACCCAGGACCCTGCCATCCTTGGGTGCTGTCCTTGAGCTCCTCGTCACAGCTGGGTTGCCTCCATATCTGCTCCAGCCCACAGGGCATGGGGAGGCAAGAAGACTGGGGTTAGCTGTTCCGTATTAAGGAGTTAGCTCAGAAGGGAATGGTGTGTCTCACATCCTAGCTGGAGAGGAGTAGACAATGGGGTTTCTGCCTGGTGGCCACACACTTAAAGAAAACTTGAGGAATTTGTTTCTGAAAGAAAGAGAGGGAAATAGGTACCGTGGAATGATTAGGAATCCCTGGTTGGTGCAAGTGGTTAACACACTTGACTACTAACGAAAAGTTTGACAGTCTCCGTCACCCAAAGGTACCTTGGAAGAAAGCCCTAATCATCTATATCCCCTCAAAAATCAATCATTGAAAACACCATGGAGCACAGATTTACTCTGTCACACTTGGACTCATAAATCTGAATCAATTTGACCACCCAAAAGAAAAATCTGAAAAGTCGATAATTAAAAGTTTTAAATCTTTGTAATCATTGAGATATATTTTTCCATTGTTTGAACTGTAATATATTTTTTCTATCATAGTTTTAAAAGTAAATTTTATGTAACAGCAAACCATCTAAATATTTTTGTATTATAAGTATTTGTATATCAGGCACATTATGTTCTCAGAATACATTTGTAGAGGTAGATTACTGACATATTTTTAAGCATATTTTAAAGACTTCTGATACTTATTGTACTCTAGAAAAGTTGAACCTATTTACATTTTTGTTAACTTTTGAGACCTAAAATTAATTTTGAAAAAGTCACTTCAGAACCAATTACCCTCATGACGAGCATTTCACTCTCTTCTTTATCCACATGATTATTACACATTTATAACCATTTTGTTGTTGTTAAGTGCCATCGAGTTGGTTCTGAATCGTAGCAAACCTGTAAAGGATTTCCAAAAAATGGCTGGTGAATTGAACGTCTAACTTTGCAGTCCATAATGCATATCAGTTTTCATGTTCTGACTTTTTCCCACGTAATACTATTTGTAAATATCATTTATAAACAGTTTTTATCTCACATTTATTATCTATAACAGTGGGGTACTAGTCATGCATGCTGGTGTAACAGTGTTGTCAAACTGCACATTTATTATTGGACTTTTTAAGCTCATTTCCAGATTTTTGTTCCTTGAAATAATCTCCACATTTTACTTCTTCTAAGAAGCCTTTTCAAATGGATAGTTTTTGAATTCCTAATGTAACTTTGCACACGAAATTAAAATTTAGTGGTTCAGCCTAAGATATAGGCATGTTTTTTTCTTTACAATCTGTATTCCCTCCTGGTGCTTTTATCTAAATGCTGAAAGGCAGTGTGACAAGGTGATAAACTGATACCTTGCACAGCAGCCGACCAGCTTGCACTGATATATTCCCACTGACAATTTGACAGGGAACAGATGCAAAAACAGGTGCTGTAAATCCATATTTTGTTCTGCTCGTTACATATGCTGCCATATTTCATATCTGTCATTTGCACTGGGAAAAGCAGATGCTAAGCAGTTCTCCTACAGTAATCCTGTGGTACCTAATCTCACGGTGTCCTTTATTCAATCAAACAGAATTTTATGCAATTGATTGAAACACTACATGAGTTAAAAGCAGTTCAGACAAACAATGTCTGGGTAGTTCTTTTTTAAAAAATCAGTTAATAGGGCACCACTATGAGGCCAAAACGTAAACACAATTCCCAATTTGGCCTGCCAATATTAGATTGAATTCTTGACATATTTTCAACTCGGAGGCCTGGTGTAAGTATGGATTTGTATTATTTCAAATTTTACAAATGAGCGAGTTTAAAATATTTTTACATTACATACTTTTAAACATGTATAAATATGAATTTTATATAAAACACCATTCATGGCTCTCTTCTTCCCAAGTAGGTAGAAATGGTATTGGGGTGCAGCCACATTTTATGATTACATTTTGTGAATGGTATTCAAGAAAAAATGTGAAATTAATAATGTCATTTCAAAAATTAGCCAATATAACTAAACAAGCAGAGCGGATATATATGTTGTTGTTGTTATGTGCTGGGGGCTTGGTTCCGACTCATAACGACCTTGTACAGGGTTTCCGAGGCTTTAAATCTTTACGGGAGCAGAAAGCCTCATCTTTCTCCCACAGAACAGCTGGTAGTTTTGAAGTGCTGACCTTAAGGTTCGCAGCCCGATTCATAACCACT